CAATGATCCTGAACGGCCCAATATATCGGGGACCCAATTTTCCCCTCTTCCTGACGCGGATCACGCCTTTCTAGGGCGAGACCTTAAGGAGTACCGTGTCACCGACCTGAAACTCTAACTCGGAGCGGCGCCGGTCGGCGTAACTCTTCTGCCGACTCTGAGCGGTCTGCAGCCGCTGCCTAATCTTCTGAATCTTCTCGGTAGTCTGCAAGACCACCTCCGTCCTACCCATCACCCTGTGGCCAACCTCACGCCAACAAACCGGGGTGCGACATCTCCGCCGGGCGCCAAGGCTAGAATGATAGCTGTTGTTGTAGGCGAACTCCGCAAGCGGTAGGTGAGAATCCCAACTCCCACCGAAATCAATGACACACGCCCTCAAAATGTCCTCGAGGGTCTGAATAGTCCGCTCGCTCTGGCCGTCTGTCTGTGGGTGGAATGTTGTGCTGAAGTGCAACTGCGTGCCCAGCTCCTCGTGAAACTTTTTCCAGAAGTGGGAGGTAAACCTGACATCCCGATCAGAGACAATGGAAACGGGAACCCCATGGCGAGACACGATCTCGCGAACGTACACTTCGGCCAATTTCTCGGCCGATGAGCTCTCCCCTATAGCCAAGAAATGGGCACTCTTGGTCAATCGATCCACGATGACCCATATAGCATCAAACCCCTTCGTCGTCCTCGACAACTTGGTAATAAAATCCATTGTGATCTGTTCCCATTTCCACATGGGAATCTCTAGAGGCTGTAGCTTTCCATGCGGCCTCTGATGCTCGGCCTTGACCATCCTACAGGTCAAGCACCTCTCGACGTACCAAGCGATCTCTCGCTTCATGCACGGCCACCAATAGCTCAAACTCAAATCCCGGTACATCTTGATGTCCCCCGGGTGAATAGAGAAATGAGACTTATGAGCCTCCTCCATAACCGTCTGCCTAACCCCACCAGACATCAGAACCCAAACCCGACCGCATCGGGTCAATACTCCCCGACTATCCTGCACGAACCGGGTATTCTCACCCTTGATCCTCTCCAGCTTCCAATTCTCCGGTCGCATGCCCTCTACCTGGGCATCTCTGATCAAACTCATAAGCGGAGAATCCACCGCTATCCTCATACATACCGCGGGGGTGGAAGACCCAGTTGACTTGCGGCTCAAAGCATCCGCAACCACATTCGCTTTACCAGGGTGGTAAAGGATCTTGCAATCGTAGTCCTTGACTACATCCAGCCACCTGCGCTGCCTGATGTTCAGGTTCGGCTGATCCATGATATGTCTCAAGCTCTTGTGATCCGTGTAAATGGTACAGCGGACCCCATAGAGGTAATGTCTCCATATCTTGAGGGTGAAAACCACCGCCCCCAGCTCGAAGTCATACGTAGGGTATCTCGTCTCATGCGGCTTCAGCTGCCGCGATGCGTAGGCTATCACTCGTCCTCTCTGCATGAGGACCACCCCTAAACCTGTGATGGATGCATCACAGAACACCACAAAATCCTTAACTCCCTCTGGGAGTGTCAAGACTGGTGCCTCATACAAACGCTGACGGAGGGTCTCAAACGCCCTCTGCTGCTCGGGGCCCCACCGGAAATCCACCCCCTTCCTCGTTAGACGAGTGAGGGGTACTGCAATCTTGGAGAAATCCCGTATGAACCTCCGGTAGTACCCTGCCAATCCCAGAAAACTCCTAATATCTGAGGGAGATTTCGGAATCTCCCACTGCATAACCGCCTCGATTTTGGCCGGATCGACCAAAATCCCCTCCTAGTTAACGAGATGTCCGAGGAACTGGACCTCTCGTAACCAAAACTCACACTTCGAGAACTTGGCGTACAACCGTTCTCGTCTCAGAACTCCCAACAGCTCTCGCAGATGCTCATCATGCTGCTCTCGGGTCTTGGAATACACCAAGATATCATCTATAAACACTATGACCGAGCGATCAAGCATCGGTCTGCAGACCCGATTAATCACGTCCATGAACACTGCTGGCACGTTGGTGAGCCCAAACGGCATCACCACGAACTCGTAATGTCCATAACGAGTTCGGAACACGGTCTTCTCCACATCCTCCTCTCTGACCCTGACCTGATGATACCCAGACCTCAAGTCTATCTTGGAAAACCAAGATGCGCCGTGCAACTGATCGAAGAGATCGTCTATCCTCGGGAGTGGGTAACGGTTCTTCACCGTTAACTTATTCAACTCCCGGTAATCAATAAACATCCGGTGCGAACCGTCCTTCTTCCAGACAATAAGAATCGGCGCTCCCCATGGAGAACTGCTAGGTCGAATGAACTGCTTGCCCAACAGTTCCTGTAGCTGCGACGACAGCTCCTGCATATCTGGTGGTGCCAATCGGTACGGCGCCTTAGCGATAGGGGCGGCACCTGGCACCAGGTCGATCCTGAACTCGACCTGCCTCTCCGGAGGTATCCCTAGCAACTCCTCCGGAAACATATCTGCAAACTCCCTGACCACCGATACATCGGAAACCGAAATCTGATCCCTGACTCGCGTATCTACCACATACGCTAGATAACCCGCACACCCGTGCTGAATGTACTGCCGAGCCCTGGCAGCTGAGCAAAACCCTGATCCCACTCTGGTGCCCTCGCCATATACAATCAGTTCTCCCCCACTTGGGGTCCGAACTACCACTCGCTGGCCCTCGCAATCAATCATAGCACCGAACCGACTGAGCCAATCCATGCCTACAATCACGCACACCTCCCCCATGGGGATCAGAATCAAATCTATCGGAAAGGACACCCCAAAAATCTCCAAGTCACACCCTCGATAAACTAAAGAAGCAGAAACCCCGTGTTCGTTGGTGATAGAGACTCGCAATGGACACTCTAGCTCGCCTACTGGCACTCTGAACTCCCTACTAAAAGTTTGAGATACAAAAGACCGACTCGCCCCCGAGTCGAACAAAACCAAAGCAGGCAAGGAGTTCACTAGAAACGTACCTAATCACAGGTACAACAAATAACCATACAACAGATATAGTAAATGAGATAAAGGATAGAAACATACCAGCAACCACATCCGGTGCTGCCTTGGCCTCCTCGGCCGTAAGCTGAAATGCGCGTCCCTGAGCCTTCGGAGGCTCTGCTCTGCCTTGCCTCCCATCGGTAATCCTCAACGTAGCCGACGCAGGAGCCTGTGCCGGCTTGGCGGCAAGTAGTGGACAGTTGGCCCTCATGTGCCAACCTGATCGCAGTGATAGCATAACCTCATACCCTAAACTGGGGCGGCCTGGCGACAGTCCTTCGCGTAATGCCCCTCCTTGCCGCACTGGTGGCACCCACTACCAACTCGACACACACCAGAATGACCCTTGCCACACTTCCCACAAGTGCGGCTCTGCTGACCCTCGGTCCTAGTATCAGCGGTCTTAGACCGCTTCGGCACGGGCTGAGAATGTGCCGGGGCCTGCCGCTGCTCTCTCAACTGCTGCTCAATCTCCAACTCACGCCGTCTGGCGGCCTCATGAAACTCTAGAAGAGTATCACATCGCTGGGTAGACACAAACTGACGGATATCTGTCTTGAGCATGCTCAGATAACGGGTCATCTGAGCCTGCTCTGAAGCAAACTCCGGGCAAAACATCACCCTCTCAGTGAACATCCAGGTGATCTCCGTCACCGACTCCCCATCCTGTCTCAAACTCAGAAACTCTTGTGCCAAACATCCCGCTCAACCCGCTGAATGTAGCGGGCGCGGAACATGTCCCTGAACTGCTCCCAAGTAACAGCAGCTCTCTGATCATCAGTGTACGACCCAGTCGCAAGTCTCCACCAGTCCTTGGCCCCGGACCTAAGCAGGTTCAGAGCACATCTGACCTTCTAGTCTGTAGGACACGAGCAGGTGAATAAATACCCCTCCACATCTGAAATCCATCTCATAGCCTTGATGGGATCCTGCGTCCCATCAAAAGTAGGGGGCTTCGTGTTATCGAAGTCCCTGTACTGAAAGCCCCTACCAACTCCTCCCCCTGCCGCAGATATAGTTGATGCAGCTGCTGCGGCGGCTGTCTCTGCAAGGGCTGCGTAGCGCTCATCAAAATACTCCACCATGGCGGTCTTAATCGACCCGAACATCTCCGGTAATTGAGCCCGGAATGCAGCAGCAACCTTATCATGCGGGATCTCTCGAATCCTGGCATCCAACTCCTCTGTACCCATCTGCACCACCGGCTCAGGTGCTGTCGGCCCCTCCCGTCCTCGTCGTCTTCATCTTCTGTCTCCGCTTCATCTTCCGATTCCTCCACCACTTTGTCGAATGGGACTGGATGGAAAGGAGACCAGTCGTCGGTGTATTCTACAACACCCACCATGAAGGATACTCCATCCGCCATGATGTTGATTGTCTCATTTATCCATATCATTCCGGTCGTTAATACACATTCTTTCCCCATTGAGAAGTCGTGTCTGCTGATGATATGGTTGAATGGATTGATCACTCTACGAAATCGTTGAGTAATCAGATTGAAAATTTCTTCTTCCCACAATTGAATTGGTAGTCCTAGTATTTTCAACCAAGCAGTTCTTTCGTAGGGGAGATCATACTGATCTACTCTTGATAATTTTTTGAACCAGTCTTTCTATCTAGTGTTATCCTCCAGGAATTGAGTTGTGTGGTTGAACTTTAGGGCAGTCCTAAGACCACCAAGGTACTTTGTATTTTCGTTAATAAGTAGAGAAGCCGACAGGTTAGCAATATGGTCAAGGATGAAGGCTTCACCTATTAGGACTGATTTTTAGATCCATTGTTTCATGCTCGTATTTGGATTTAGGATAACTGGTGTGCTTAGTGACTTAGTTGATTGTGTTGTTGAGTCCTTCGTTACTTGTACATAAGTTTTGGTTCTAAATTCACGAGAATGCATGAAAAAGGAAGGAAGAGGAGGAACATACATGAGATTGATTTCTGGTGCAGTCTGCCGATGGAAGGTATGATTTTTTGGATGCTTAGTTTTTCTTTGGTGTTTCGCCTAGTTTACCTCAAGTTGTTGCCCACGACATATAAGGCCCCGTAAGTTCTTTTCCAAATTGTTCACCTCTCTTACTCCATGGAATCTTACAAATGAGTAATTCTTCTTCCTATAGTCCTTTCTTCTTCCGATGTAAACATCCACCACCTGTACAAATCTTGTAAAAGTCTGTCGAAGTTCCCCTTTACTTGTGCTATCAGGGAAGCCTGCAACAAAAAAGTTAGTGATTGCTTGAATCGTCGGTGGTTTCCTTCGTCGGACGTCCGTCCATGTTCCCTCCGCCATTTTTTATGACTAAAGGCCAAATCAGTCGTCTCACATGTCAATATTTTTACTTGACCATTGGGATAGGTAACTTTGCTTTTATAATTTTCTTATCTTCATCTATAATCCGTTAATCTTGTCAATAAATTGTAGACTCTTTTCATTAACATATTGTGGATTAGTCATGAATGCTTTGAAAACCAATGAGTTTTATTGTGAAGATGTGCGATACACAACAAAATTAGGAAAAACTATGATTGTTTTATTAATTATTCCTAGGCAACATCTATTTGCATTTGCATAGGCAACATCTATTTGCATTTGCATTGTTTGTAAAGCCGTTTGTGTTTCCATGTATATTTTGTTTTCCATTCTATGTATATTTTATTTTCCATCAGAGCACATAGGGTGATTATTTAGAATATATATATATATATATATAAAATTGTAAAAATGGTCTTTGTGGTATGTATTTTTTCTGAGGTTTGGTCCAAACCTCGATATTTTGGCTTCTTGGTTATTTTGAGCTAGTTTCGTTGCGGATTTGGTTCTTCAATAAACTTTTTTTACTGAAATGACTTTAAGACCATTGGGGTATTTATTTCCTATTTTTCTTTCATTTTTAAAATCTAATACTTATTTATTTTCTTAAACAATAAAACAATAAGAGGACCTCTCTCTCTCTCTCTCTCTCTCCATAAGAACAAAAAAACCCAGATTAATATCATTTGACAAAAAAACCGAGATTAATAAAAAACCCATGTTCATGATCTACACTCTAGCATCACCATCACTACTCTCATTTTTTTTTAACAAAAAACTCATCTTCATCTACATTCCAGATTAACAAAAAGCCCATATTTATCCTTTTTACTTTGTTCAAAAATATGAATTTAATTGATCAACCTGTTTATCAGGCTTCATCAGGTTTTAGGTTAGACCCATCTTCATCTTCTTCACACAAAATGAATCAATACCCATAAACCAATGAGCATAATTCGTACACAAACACAAAAAGAGTGGTAGATCTCGGTATTTGTCTAGATTAAACCCATACCCCCAAAATCAATGAACCACAATAGATCTGGTTTAGATTTGCACATAGACACCAATAATGAGAAAATATGGAAATCGAGAAAGAGAGTCGTCTCTCAATCTGCCTTCATACATCTCTCTAATTTACCTCCTTTTTATCAACGATTGATGTTCTTTTCTTCCCCTATTGATAACAAAATTAACGTAGACACACATGGTAAAGACGGTGGTACATTTGATTGAACCTTCAACAGATCTAGGTTGGATTTGGCTTTGTTAAACATATCTCACGTTGTTTTGGTGAGCAATCTAACAAAATCGAAAGAGAGGGACGGAGGGGGTAAACTGGTGATCGAAGGAGTGTTTTATGTGAGCTATAATATGGTTTTGGTTGCTTATTTTCTTTCAAGAAATAATATGAGAGAGTGATTGAATTTTAGTATTTTTAATTTTTTTGAAGGATCAAAATCGCAAGCAAACTAACTCAAAAGGACCACGAAGCAAAAAAAAAGTCGATGTTTGGACTAAACCTTAGAAAAAATATGTGTGTGTGTGTGTGTATATATATATATATATATATATATATATATATATATATATATATATATATATACATTCTAAAAATGAAACTTAGGTGATGTAAGGAGAAGTTAATATAGATAAACTTACAAGTTATCCTGTATATACATATAATGTAACTTTCTTTAAATTGTTACTTTTAACCCTTAAGTTACTGTAGCTAAAATTACAAGGTACCATGCATAATGTGTATGTATTGCAATGCATTGTTGAGCTTTCAATCCCTTAACTTTCTATAATTTGTCATTTTCAACCTTTCTATTTTGCAAAATAATATTATTCATCATTTTACTTTTTTAAATATCATTTTGACCACCTCCACCTTTAAATTTGTAAAATGTCACTTTCATCCATTCATTTTCTAAAAAATCATGTATATCTGCATTTACTTTGTGTAACACCCGTCAAAAATAGGTCAATAACAATCACATGTGATTATACGAATCATGTAATGTGATCTTGTTAAAACTAGTAATGTAGTAAACTCACTATGTATTTCATGATAATTCTAATATAAATATGAACTTTCATACATATTTTATGATACAACTAAAAGTATACATCCATACGATTCCAAACTCACGACGTGAGGAGTCAAACCGCCATATTTCGGATCTAAAAGGTGTGACGAGGCTGCGAGGGGATAAGATCCAAACTCACGACGTGAACAAGGCGTTTTTCACGTCGTGAGGGCTCATTTTGCCACCTTCGGAAGCTAGAAGACGGATGGCAAGTCTACGAAGAGATAAGATCCAAACTCACGACGTGAACAATGAGTTTTTCACGTCGTGAGGGCCAAAAATCTTACTATAAATAGCAAGATCGACCCTAGCCATTCTTACACCTGAACTTCTTTCTCCTCTCTCCTTTGCTGAAGCCCTCTTGCATCCCGAGCCCCGACGACCTCGTACGCTGACCGTTTCTGCTTAGACTACATAAAATCACGCTATTAAGGTGAGTTTCACGGCCCCACTTTCTAATATTTTCGTGCGAAAACGCATGCTAAATATTATATATACGTTATTATTATGTCTATATGATAGTATATTAGTATCAACGTAGATAGTTATAATAACCGGGATATAGTTATTTCGTATATGAAATTATACAACTATCGTAAAGTTGTTAGTATGTTATTGTTATAGTAGTATACTAATGTAGATCTTGAGTTATACTTAGGATTCTATATATATGTTGTGTGTGATATAGTTCCAGAGTTATACTCGGAAGTTCTATATGTTAACTGATAAGTATGTTGTTATTATTGGTTTTATGTCAAGATAAAACCAAGTATGCTATATGTTGTTGTTATTGGTTTTATGTCAAGATAAAACCTGGTTTTAATTCTAATTATAGCTGTTGTACTACCGCAAGGTGTGATCCTTGTACTACCGCAAGGTGTAATCCTTGTACTACCGCAAGATGTAATCCTTGTACTACCGCAAGGTGTAAACCTTGTACTACCGCAAGGTGTTATCCTTGTACTACCGCAATTTGTGATTCTTGTAATAATAATAAGAGGTATAAGACTAAGTCATACAGTCGCAGCTACTGACTCATGGTAGCATAACTTTAGAAGCGTTATACTTTGTCGATATACAAGTATGAATGTTAAGTATAAGTTCCCCAAAAGACTTATACTCTAAGTATAAAAATCTAGTAGGTATATTACTTGTATATTAAGTAGACCACTACAGCTATCCTACTTACTCGTATAGAATTGAAATAGATTTATACGTAGCGGTTTTACTCGTATAGAATTGAAAGAGATTTATACGTAGCGATTTTACTCGTATAGAATTGAAATAAGATTTATACGTAGCGGTTTTACTCGTATAGAATTGAAATAAGATTTATACGTAGCAACTTTCGTTTGTATGGAATTACAAACACTTATACATAATATATGAGACTTATAGGTAAACTACTTATTTGGTAAGTAAACTTTTATACCTAGGATATATATGCTAAACATTGGAGAGTCAAAATGATACTTTCAAAACTATACTTTTGAACTTGGAAAATGTATTATTTTTATATGGAGTCAAAACCTGTGGACTCACCAACTTTATGTTGACGTATTTTTAAATGCATGTGTTTTCAGGAAGTTGATAACTATGATACGAGAAATGACGTTACACTGCCCGGTGTTTCCGCCGACGGCCGGGGTGTGACAGATTGGTATCAGAGCTATTAACTATAGTGAATTAGTACTTTCTTAGGAAATCACGACTATAGTTTAGGGCTTACTCTGTTAGGTTTAGATATATCCCTTAGCCTACAAATATAAACTATTATTAATTATACTACTAAAGGACTACTTACGGGAGCGATGACAAGGATAGACATGTCGATTTGGGTTGCTGGATTTCAGAACGGCTATATGCTAAAATGATCCTGCCCTTTGACTGTCCTTACTGGCCGGTGCCTTATCAGCTAGACCTGAAGTAACGAACAATAATTAATAGAGCATGAATACAACAAATAATAAATATATAGTCATATATGAAGACTCAGAGCCGCGATGAGAATACACCTAAATACCTAGAATGTTTTTGATCTCAAGGATTTACATCAGATATTTCAACTAAAGTTCATATGTGCATAGATCTTATCACAACTAGGTGTAGGTGTACAACTATATTTTATTATGATGAGATCATATGAACTATTTAAATTGGGAGTAATATTTGATAGACTAAACACTTGGTGATCTAAAATGTATAGGAACTAAACAAAATGCCTAGAAGAAGTAGCGCTCGGCTAAACCTTAACCAACGACCAGCACCACAACAACAACAACCACAACCACCACCACGAGAAACAAACCCTCCAATAAGTTCAGCAGAACTTGAAGAAATCATAGCCCAGAGAATCGCTGCAGCTCTTGCTAATGTCACAAGAGGAGGAGTTAAAAATGAAGGTAATGTAGGGACCGCCAGAATGTGTACCTACAAGGATTTTATGAATTGCAAACCTAAGAGCTTCCATGGAACGGAAGGGGTTGTTAGCTTGACCCGGTGGATTGAAAAGATAGAATCAGTATTTTAAACAAGCTTCTGTCCGGACGAATGTAAGGTACGATTTGTTGCGTGTACCTTCGCTGATGCAGCACTTACATGGTGGAACAGCCATGTAAATACCACGGGTATTGATGCTGCCAATTCCATGCAATGGGAAGAGCTGAAGAGGATGCTAGTAGAGGAGTATTGTCCCAGGGAGGAAATACATAAGCTGGAACAAGAATTGTGGACCCTAACCATGAAGGGTTCAGAGATAAATGCTTATACCGCTAGATTCAACGATCTTGCGGTGATGTGTCCGGCACTTGTAACCCCACAATACAAGAAGATTGAGCGATATATCTGGGGTCTAGCATCGCAAATCAAAGGAATGGTGATCGCATC